CACACACACAGTCAGATCATCTACAGACACACATCAACATTGTGATCAGCTGACTGTAAATTATCTCTTATATGTTCTTAATACCTCAGTATCTGCAGCTGACAGTTTGGACTCTTTAGTCCATCAGAAATAAACTTTACACCAGAGTCCTGCAGGTGATTGTTACTCAGATCCAGCTCTCTCAGGACAGAGTTTGAGGATTGTAGAGCTGATGACACCATTTCGCAATGCTGATCTGAGAGATTACAGCCAGAAAATCTAGAAGAGATAAATAATAATAATAAAGACATGTAAAGAGGGTTGCTCAGGAACATGGGATGACATGATCTGAACACTGAATCACAATAAGAAGAGCTCCTGACTGTTTCTTCAGCTAATGAATATGTAAATGTAGCTAAATGTAGCACAGTTTTCTGAGACTGTGTTTCTCCGCTGCTAAAGAGCCAGTGATGTTGAAGCAGGTGTTGATCATCTTCTGCAGAGGCGGGCTTTCATCGCACTGTGACATCATAATGTGACAAATTCCAGAACGAGTCATTTTAGAATCTTGGTTTCAATAAAAGTGTTTTTAGACTAATGAGAAAGTTTTGAGTTCTGAAACTTACAGGATTTTTTAAATAGTACAATGAGTACTGAGTTATTACTAATAACACACAACACAGCTTAGAGTTCTCTAGAATGAGTGGAAACTAATGCTTATTCCTGGGTTTACAACCAACACTTTTAAACTGTAGTTTAAAATGAATATATATATATATACATATTTCTTCTGCACTGGACGCTCCAGTCAAATTCTTTGTGTGTGTAAACATACTTGGTAATAAAGCTCCTTCGGATTGTGATATACATATACACCTTATATATATATATATTATATTTTTGGAAGAAACAAAGTCACCTACATCTTGGATGCTCTGGGGGTAAGCAGATAAACATCAAATTAAAATTTTTGGGTGAACTATCCCTTTAATCAACACAAAATAGGTGTCATTTGAATGCTTGGAGTCTTACCTTTACAATGCATGTGGCCACTTTGAGTTATTAGCGGATATATATAATTTATGAAAACTATATATAGTTTATGTGCCATGTACTCTAATATGTCAGAAACATCATACAGCTCAGATAGTCATGTGTCATCTGTCATTTGAAAGGTCTCATCGAGTAGAATAACACAAGCGTAATTGTTTGGGGCTTTGACTAAAATAATTTTTCTCCTACCTTATTTCTTTCATGAGATATTGAACGTCAAATAAGACAGATATGAAAAATTTCTCTTGACCACACTAATTGTTCTTATATTTTTATCAGCTATTTCTCAGCAGGAGAATGTCCAAATTAAACCTTTTTTTTTTTTTAAAGAGAGACGCACAAGCACAGGTAGACTATTGTCAGCTCTCTCTGTCTCTCTCTCTTGATCCATCCATCCAATAATTAATTAAAGTAGCTAAATGTTATAATGTTGAGCTAACGAGCCGTAGCTTGGCGTCACTTGGTTTTGGTTTTTAAAATTGTTCAATGCACAGCTAGCCTTGTATTATCTCTTATGCATTCACTCTTTAGCAGCAGTTTTTATGGCAATATTTAAATGACATCCTGGTCATTCTTGGTGAACCCAAAATACTCCCACACGATCGACTTCAGTCATTTCTCTGGTGAAATAAAGCTTGTTTGGTTCCTCTGTCATAGTTCCTCTAGTGTGTGTAGTAGCTCTGTTTCTCTGATAAGCACAGCATTTTAAGATGGTGCACCGCTAGTGTAACTTTGTTTTCGATTAATTGCACAACTAGCAACAGTTCTGTTCTGTGCAACAGAAACACTCGGTGTAGCGAAGCCTTTACGATTAATTAACCGTGACGTTTTAAAGCGTCTCTACTGTGTGCCTGTAAATTATGACCTTTTACTCGTTTCTTCATTTATTTTAGTTGATTCACCGGACTGAATAAATACAGTGCTTTCATGTTTTAACTCATACAAAGGAATGATTTAATGAAAAAAGTGATCAACATTTTCTTAATTTGCCTATCGTCGACCCACGCTAGCCCTAGGATTATTCTTGTGTCTTGCCCGCCATATACCTGTTTGCCAGTGTTCTGACCCTGCCTGTCTTATGACCATGTCTCTGTCTTCTCCAATTAAAGCTTTGCATTTGGATCCGCACGTCTAACGTCTCGTCAGCCCCGTTACATTATTATTGCTATTAATATTACCAGTACTGTATGTCAATACGTTATCTTCATTCACAGTGAAATGTCTGAATGTCAGCTTCACTGATCAATGTGGTCCAGAATGAACTTCTGCACAGAGACGGTTTTTCCGATTCCAGCGATGCCTTTAGTAAGAACAGTCTTGATCTGCTCTTTCTCCTCAGATCCTGCTTCAGCTGAGGCTTTAAAGATGTCATTGCAGTAGATTGGAGTGTCTTGTGAGTGTTGTGTTCTGGCTGTTTTCTCCATCTGTAAAACCTCATGTTCTTCATTCACTCCTCCTCTCTCTCCCTCTATGATGTAGAGCTGTGTGTAGATGCTGTTCAGGAGGCTTTCATTCTCCTGGAGTTGCAGTCCCTCAAATAATCTCTCATACTTGTTCTTCATGCTGGTTTTGAGCTGCTCTTTGACTCTCTGTAGTTCATCATTCACTGGTTGATCATGTTTATTCAGAGACGCTGTAACGCTCGTGTTGTTCAGACAGAAGACAGAGGCGGCTCCTCCAGAGATGCTTCGCTCTCCATCTGCTCTGCTGAAATATCACAAGCACAACAGATTAAACATATCTGAAAATAAAGGATGTGTAAATTAAAATCTAAATCAAGAGATTTCAGTCTTGTCTGTTAAGGAGCACAAGTGTGAGTAAAACAAGCTCCTGCAGGTCCTTACAGAGTCTTAAACATTTAAACAGCAGAACAAACATCATCATTATTATGTGTTAAATTTGGAGACTGAAAAGCCGGAATCACGATACAGTCTAAAGCAGTGTTTCTGAACTGGTGGGTCAGTACAGTACAGTACCGATAAATCACATAACTGGTACTGCGTGTGTTACAGTGTTAACATTTTTTTCACAGACGACAACGAAACGATAACGAACTAAAACTCTTTTTGAATGACAAAAACTATGTTGTACGATTGAGGGACGATTTGGTAAAAGAGATTAGGGATTTAGATTAGAGAGATTAGAGATTAGAGATTAATTCAGAACGAATCTGCTGCGTGGTTCGGAGGTTAGATGTGTACATATGAACCGGCGGGACATAAACTAACATACACTTGCTGCACGTCTCATAAAACGTAAAAAAAAAATTTAATATGTGGGAGTAAGAGAAGAGCAGACATATGGATAAATCTGACGACGCAAGAGAGAACTCAGTTCGGTCCAGTTTTCAGTGTCCGCAGACACTGAAGCACACACACAGAAAGCGCCTCTCACAGCGTGCGAGTACTCTTTCACGTCGCATGAACGGAGAATTACACACACGTGTATCAGTACATTGTATCCATTGCAGCTGTGCATTCGGTTTTAAAGGGATAGCAGCCTAATTTAGTTGCTTTTGTCCAAGTCATTGATGTTAATCAAGCAACAAAAGAAAGACAGAAAATCACGCACTGCTCTTGACTGAACAACTTTAGTAGCCCTAAAGATTAATCTAAATGTATTTATAGTCTGCTTGAAAGAATGAAGAATGTGGTAAACAAGTTGCTATAAAGAATGCATAATTAGCCGATATAACCATTGGCATTTCATTAATAAGAAGACGATGTTCTTGTTCTTTATGAGAAGTGGTTTTATTTAATTTTAACAAAGACATGTTGTGTGTCACCGCAGTTGACTCAGTGTCTATCACGATAAAACATTAATATCAAGCCTATTGTCACAGTCACGGTGTGTGGAGGCAGGCAGGATGACGAGGACGACACGGATTCCAATAATGATATTTAATGTAGACACAACAAGGCACATTCGGGTAGGTGAGACACACACACACACACACACACACACACACACACTCGGGGTAACATTCACATTAACCAACAAACTGGAACACAATGGACAGGAACTGATATAGGGTGGATAATTAGTGGCAGACAGGTGAGCACAATGAGGGTAATTAACTAATGATAGTACGGGCTAAACCAACAAAAAGGGAAGAAACCACAATAAACAGTCCACAGGGGCATTACATTACTCCCCCCTTCCGGAAGGTGCGTCCCTGCACCGTAGAAACAGAGGGAGGGGCGGAGGGGGACTAGGAGGAGGACAAAGCAGTGGATGTGAGATGGTAACAGGGGAAGGCAAAGGGCTGGCAGGCAGACCAGACAGGTGGAGTTTCCGGCGGAGGACGGACTTCCAGGAGGAGACCAGGGGGGCGACGAAGGAGCCAGGGAGGAGACAGGAGGGACCCGGAGCAGGAGGAGCTCAGCTGGACCCAGGCCACAGCCATAACAGCGGCCCACGGTGGAGCTGACGGTGGGAGGAGCCATGGAGGAGGAATAGCTGCCGACTCCAGGGGGCCTACCAACGGCGGCGGAGCAGGTGGAGGAGGAGCCAGAGGCGGAGACGGAGAGCGAACGAGCCAGGGGGATGCCAAAGATCCAGGGGGCCAGGGTGGAGCGGAGGGCTCTGGCGACCAAGGCGGAGGCGGAGATCCGGAGATCCGCGGCGGAGCCGGAGCAACTGAGGACCAAGGTGGAGCTGGTGGGAGGAAGGAGCCCAACGGAGCCGGTGGGACAGAGCGACGAGGGGCAGCCAGAGGAGTGGAGTCCAGAGGCGATGGTGGGTTCGACGCCCGACCAAGGCGGAGCCGGAGGGACGAGGGAGCCCGGTGGAGCTGATGGATCGATGGGTGACGGTGGAGGCGAGGGAGCTAGGAGCCGAGGTAGAGCCACTGGGTCTACGGGCCGAGGCAAAGTCCAGGCCTCGGAGGCTGGAGGCAGAGGTGAGGGAGACTCCAACCCCGGCGACGCTGGAGGATAGCAGTCCCGCGGGGCTCGCACCGCAGTGATGGTGGGCTGAGGGCGAGCAGAGGAGCTGCCAGATGACAGCGGTGGAGGAGGCTGGAGCGGGTGGGA